TTATACTGACTTTGACAGAGAAAGTAAGTATATAACAAGAACATTATACTGACTTTGACAGAGAAAGTAAGTATATAACAAGAATATTATACTGACTTTGACAGAGAAAGTAAGTATATAACAAGAACCTTATACTGACTTTGACAGAGAAAGTAAGTATATAACAAGAATATTAAAGATACCAAACAATGCACACCACCCTAGTAATGATACAATGCATATGTTGTTTGCTTCACCAAAATTGAGTTTGGGTAAATCTATTCCTATTCCATTATTTGAAGAATAGAGCCACAGGCTTTAAAATTGGGGAAAACACATTGTGTGCATCCAAATTAGCAATATTACTCATCCTATTAAAATTATACACCTTTGTTTATAACACCATTTTAAAAACTGTAATTTTTTTCTTACCGGATTTCTTTCTTTCTGAATGTTGTATATGCCTGATAAACAGTCCTACCTCTTTGGGTTCCTCCTGGGGTAGGAGACATGGTACAATGTTTGTACGCTGGTTCCCGGGGAGGGGGAAGGTCAGATCGAACTCCTCAGTCAGTCTGAGTAGCCAGTTGTGTAGCTCTGAATCATATGCCTTCCAGATCTCCTCAATGTGGTCATGCAGAAAGCGGCCATTGTGTTCCTGAAGACAATGAGACTTTCTGGTCACACCGGGGCTATAAGATACCACTAATCCTATCGCTCTTTGATTTCAATGATTCAAACATTCATGTTTATTTTTCTGCCAGGATTAAATCCCATTCTACACACTTATTACATAAAAACTTAAAACTCTTAACAAATAAATTCACAATTAAAAGAGCATCAAAATTTGTTTTTGTAAACTGTCAATTTTACATGTATGAATGATGGATTGAGGGATTGTATGACACACACCATACAAAATTTCACATACAACACATTTACATGAATGAGACATTATTAAACATAATACCACTTACCTGTCTGAGGCACTGTTTGACAGACACCACACACTAACCTGTCTGAGGCACTGTTTGACAGACACCACACACTTACCTGTCTGAGGCACTGTTTGACAGACACCACACACTTACCTGTATGAGGCACTGTTTGACAGACACCTCACACTTATCTGTATGAGGGACTGTTTGACAGACACCTCACACTTATCTGTATGAGGGACTGTTTGACAGACACCACACAAATACCGGTATTAGTGACTGTTTGACAGACACCACACACTTACTGGTATTAGTGACTGTTTGACAGACACCACCCACTTACTGGTATTAGTGACTGTTTGACAGTCACCACACACTTACCTGTATGAGTGACTGTTTGACAGACCCCACACACTTACTGGTATTAGGGACTGTTTTACAGACACCACACACTTACTGGTATTAGTGGCTGTTTGACAGACACCACACACTTACTGGTATTAGGGACTGTGTGACAGACACCACACACTTACTGGTATTAGTGGCTGTTTGACAGACACCACACACTTACTGGTATGAGTGACTGTTTGACAGACACCTCACACTTACTGGTATTAGTGACTGTTTGACAGACACCACACACTTACCTGTATGAGTGACTGTTTGACAGACACCACACACTTACCTGTATGATTGACTGTTTGACAGACACCACACACTTACCTGTATGAGTGAGTGTTTGACAGACACCACACATGCCATCACATTGACAATCCACTGTGGGTTGATGACAACACGATCTCGTAGGAAGTCGTTGTCAAAGTACTGCAGTGTTCCCAGGTCATCAAGGAATTTCACTGCCTGCTTCACCTACATCAAATACAGTTTTGAGAAGTATGTAATTGAGATTTAAATGAAAGATATTTCTCATTTTAAAGGAATTAAATATGTACACCGTTTTTGTGTTGTGAAATATTTCGCTATGTTTTTTACAGTTATAGTTGTGTTTTTCCTGATAATTATAAGTTTAAGGTGAATTTTGCTTTTCAAATGCACCAAATATCTTTATTTTGATTGGAGGAAAAGTATTCTGTGTAAACTGACTTCACTACAGAATTTTCTACTTCAGATCACTTACGTCTTTGTCATCAAATATGCCGTTATCTATGGCAAAGCCTTTGACAGTTTCCCACTTCAGAATACTGTGTTTCACACGCTCCCTGAATTGATCAAAACAAGATAATTAATATGTATAAAAAATCAATAAATGTCCCCGTAATTCACTCTGGTCAAATTTCACATTGCTCTAAATGAAAGGATTGTAACCTTGACCTAGGGATGAGGATCTCCAGTCCCACTTTAATCTTTAATGTTACACAGAACATTAGGGAAAGATTTTGCTGCTTTAACCTTTCCTTCTACCATTACAGTGAACATTAGTAAATAACATTATTAAGTGTACAGGTAAAACCTAAGTGTACAGGTAAAGCTTAAGTGTACAGGTAAAACCTAAGTGTACAGGTAAAGCTTAAGTGTACAGGTAAAACCTAAGTGTACTGCAGGTAAAGCTTAAGTGTATAGGTAAAGCTTAAGTGTACAGGTAAAGCTTAAGTGTACAGGTAAAACCTAAGTGTACAGGTAAAGCTTAAGTGTACAGGTAAAACCTAAGTGTACAGGTAAAACTAGAGTGTACAGGTAAAACTGAAGTGTACAGGTAAAACTTAAGTGTACAGGTAAAACTTAAATGTGAAGGTGAAACTTAAGTGTACAGGTAAAACTGAAGTGTGCAGGTAAAACTTATGTGTTAAGGTAAAAATTTACACTGGGTCATGATGGATTTTCACAGTAGAAGGAAAGTTTGACAACTCGAGGTGAAAGTTTATCTGTATACAGAATAATTTACTAGAAAACAATCTCTGACCTGTTCTTTTTAAATTTTGATGAAAAAAGACAAAACGATATGAAATAAAAAATCAACTGCTAAATGACAAAGTGCTCAATTCGACAATCCCTATTGCCATCTCTTGGCAAGATGGAGTTGTGATCACTCACGCAAGGATTTTCTTCTCCAGGTTCAGCCAAACCTGCGGGATCTTTTCCCCCATGTATTTCTGACTCAGTGTGCTGGTTATCAGTTGCTTCTCAAGCTCAGCGATTCCCTGAAAACACAAATTATAACCATAAAAGAAATGACCAAAGGAGACTCATACATAGGGAACAAAGAGCTAGATATTGGAGGAAAAGGAATGACCAAAGGAGACTCATACATAGGGAACAAAGAGCTAGATATTGGAGGAAAAGGAATGACCATAGGAGACTCATACATAGGGAACAAAGAGCTAGATATTGGAGGAAAAG